CTCTCCACTTTCTCTCTTTCGCTCTCTCCCAAACCTCATCCCCCCCTCTCTCTTCCTCTGTTTCTCTCTCCCCCTCTCCCTTCTCTCTCCCTCTATCTCTCTCCCCCTCTCTCTCTCCCTCACATACCCCCGCACTCTCTCTCTCTCTTTATCTCTTCCAAACTCCACCCCCTCCTCTCCCCCCCTCTTTCTCTCCCATATCCCTTCTCTTCCTCTTCCTCCTCTCCCCTCCCCTCTCTCTCTCTTTCTCTCTCTCTCTTCTCCTTCCTCTCTCTCTTTCTCTCTCTCTATATTTCATACCCCTCTCTCTCTGATCTCTCTCTGATCTCTCCCTCTCTCCCCCAAACCCCATCCCCCCTCTCTCTCTCTCTCTCTCTCTCTCTCTCTCTCTCTCTCTCTCTCTCTCTCTCTCTCTCTCACTCTCTCTGGCACGTGACTTCAATTTATCTATCTTTGATACATTTTCGTTCAAGTTTCATTATACAAGGTACACAATGCATATCCCTTTACAACCTTGTTGATACGTTTAACCAAATACGGTAACAGATTGTAAAACATTGACCCATTATGTTCACAACATTGTCACTTATCATTTGTATTGCATCCTTTTCCTTATTGCTCTCTTTGAATCTTTGGGTAATCATGATCACAATTTAGTGCAAGTGAAGCAAGTGAAAAGGGGAGGGGGGGGGGGGGTAAAAAAAGATCATTTTGTTGGTCAGAGATATGGGAATGGGACATGTCATGAATGTCTTCTGTCCTTTTATGTGAATGAAAGTTTTGCGTGTATGGTAATTGTATGTGTTTGACGCTTGTTTCAACACTGGTTTTTTAAGAGACAAAATCTCCTAATTTAATATCCATATCTAATTGGACTGAGCAAAGTTGACGAAAAGCCTCGAACCCTCCACAAACAACCGAAGTTCAAGAATGCTCCATTAAAGGTTCAAACCGAGGTCACCAATAACAAAGCCCAGCATGATGCCAAGGGAGCTGATAGCACACCATTTTGTCTTTTGCTTTTCAGGAGAAAGCCAGTGGATATACTTCTTCTGAGGGGCGCCATTTTCTTCACCGGCATGGCTCTGTGGGGCTCACGTCGCGTCAGTACACTAAAGCAATCTCATTCATCTGTACTACCATCATTTTATGAGGTCAGTGGCATTGGGACATGTGTTTGTGGTACCCAGTAGTAGATTTTCCTTGTCTCCAAAAGCTCAGGTTGGAGATTTTTTTCGTTTCTCAATTCATTGAACTGCCATGTTCTGTCTTAACTTTTTCGTGACTGCGGTTACCTCACAGCAGGGCCACTATTAAATTGGAGGAATCAACAATGATGTCGCTTATTCAGACATAACTTTTTTACTTAAATTCTTTGAAAAAGGAAAATGAAAAAGTAAACTTTAGAAGCAGAGGTGGGCTTTGCCACCTTCTCATATTTACTGCTCCCTATTTGAGTACTGTTTTATATTAGGTGCATCAATGTAACTTGTCATTTCGGTTAAGGTTTGAAAAAATATATTGCTTGTCACAAATGAGTTCATCATCAATATTTTTGTATGTTATTAGTCCAGGTTGAAGGCTTTCAGTAAACAAATGTATTGTTAGAGGGATGTAGCCTCAAGAGATGTGTACTTATGGAACCTGTGACATATTCATGGTTTTTGTTTCTGTTTTGGTGTATTTTTTTGGTTTAGGCTCTGTCCCATGAGAACAACATAGTGGCTTATGAGGTGGTGTTGAACTTACAGCGACTGGTCAGCAAATATGGCAAGGACTTACAGCATGTCACCTGGGAGATTGTGCTCGACATTCTACAGAGGCTGCTCACTCAGATTGACGTGAGTTCTCTTACCCGACTGGACAGCTACTCTCATCTTCTCCCTCTTCTGCCCACAAGTATTCAGAGGTCTAGGTTCTTAAATTCAAAATGCAATTGATTTCAGGTCCTCAGAGATCTTTTCGAATCCACACTATAGGTCTTCTTACCAAATTATAGTAGTTTTAGCTGCGACTTGGTCCTGAATTTTGATATCCACAAAGTTGATATTTGTTCAACTCTCAATAGTCAATATGTCTTTATCCTGCGTTTTATGGGACCTCCCAAACTTTTTATTCTTACATGAGAAGAATAGATACTTTACCCCAGTTCTTTACTGTCATTACTGTTCTATGTCCCTAGTTAATAGTCCAGAACTGTCTTGGGCGGGGGGTGACACCAATTTTATGTGCTGTGAAAGCTCTGCTCTTAGTTACTTGCCTGCATTCTACTTTATCTTTCAGAAATGTGGCTTTGAGAGGAAAGTGATGACAGAGACTCACCAAGTAATAACATCCATTGAGAACCTCTATCGCAACCGTCAGTTCTTTGGCCCCACGGCTCGATTTTTTCGTCTGGTGGAAATGTGTGCAAGCAAGAGGCCTGTAAGTGTTCTCTCTTGTTGTTACGTTCTACTTTTAAGGAGAAGGAAGTCAAACGTAAAGTCAGGCAATGTGTATGTAGGTGTTAAGGCATGTCTGTACACACAGCATGTCTGTATGGCTGTCTGTGTGTTTGTGTGTGTGTGCACGCATGCCAATACTATGTGAAAATACAAGACAGCTGAGAATGGAGTAGCTGCTACTCTCTAAAATATCATGTTCATATTTTAAATGGAGGAAATAGTGCAGGTAGGACAAGAAAAATTATTTGGGTCCCACTGAAATTTGGAAATAGTCCAGGAAAGACAAGAAAAATGATTTGGGCCCCACTCAGATTCTGGCCTCAAACTTTCTAGCTGAAGCTTGTGGTCTTACACAATGCAGCTACTGTTCCTTGATATTGATGTGTGTGTTGTGTGTGTGTTGCAGAGCAGCTCAGTGTGTGCGCTCATGGACTACCAGACACAGTTTATCCATCCAGGTCAGGAGAACTGGATCGAAGCTCTCAATCAGCTAATGGAGAGATACCTGAAGTAAGTCTCTCTCTCTCTTGTTGGTGTTAGTATTCGTTGCAGTTGTTGTTGTTGACATTATTTGAGTTGTTGTTACTATTGTTGATATAACAGGTCTTGTTGTGCATTTATTTTTTTTGGTTGCTTGGGGGGATCCCACCTGTTGACTCTATTTTTTTTTACTTTCTCTTTTGTATCTCTATTTATCTTGCTTTTTTCCAGCTCCAAATGTACATTATTGTGTTTGTGAGATCTCTTTACTTTACTCAATCCCATTGTTTTTGTGGTGGGGTCCTCATGTAGTCAAAATGATGATGACCTAATTTTGCTGAAGTGAATTGCTTGCACCTGTTTGAATTACTGAAGTTGTATCTGTGTAAAATGGATCATTTAGTGGTGGATAAAAGAAAGATGACAGGCTGACACACTGGTAAAAAGAAAGTTAGACAAATCAGTAACATTTCTGACAAGAGAAGTCTGAATTACCCACAAAAGTTTCAAGTTGGAAACTCAAAGGATTTTAAATGTGCTAGCTCATTAAAATTTACTTAATAAGCTTTATCTCATCCGTGCTCTGAGTCTGGTAGTCAAAATTCTTTTTGTTGTAGAAATAAAATGTTCTTTTCATTCATATTTATGTCAATTGTGCAACTCTTGCTTTAACTGTCAAAGATTTTTTTTTTTATTTCATGCCGGAGTTCAGCTCCATGTTTGTTTTATTGTAGGGCAAGGAAGTGTATTCCACTGTCATTTAATAAGGTGTTGTGGTGGTTAAGTGGTTAGTTAATTCAAACCCACAAAGATCAAGTAATATCTGTGAAATGGTCATTGGGTGTATAATCACTGGGATGTGTCTTTGATCTAGACATAATAACCCTAGCTTGAAAACAAGAGGCTGTATATGGACCAACTGTGATTTTTTCAGGAAATTGTTTATAGATGTCAAGGAAAAGTGATGTTATGTATTATGTGACTTGTGATTTAAGGCTATATTCATGCATGCTAGCTATTTTAATAATATTTCCTTATTGGTATAAATAGATATGATTACAAAATTTTGTCTTTAAAACAACTGCTTCTTATTGAGTGTTTTCTTTTTCAGGGGCCAAACTCGCACTGAAGTGAGGAAGAAATCCCTGGAAGTTCTATCCCTTGTTCTCAGCATCAACACCCACGTGTACGAGGTGAGACATGAGAATTGTTGTATGTTCTTTCCATGTTACTCTTGTTAGTTACTCTCAATGACAAAAACAGGGGCTTGTGCTATGTGGACAAGCACAGGTGAGTTTGTGAAATTTGTAGATCCACTTAGTGGTGTGCTTTTATGTCCTCCGTGGCTTGTGAATTACATTGTAAAGGAAATCATTAAACATTTATGATCAGTCAAGACTCATCTTCATCCCACCTCATAAAATATCTTAGAATATTATGTCAATGAGGTAGTAAAATATTTATGATCAACCATGATTTATCATCAGCTCAATGGACTAGTCTACTCAGTCCCCAAATGTTGTTTGTGTGTCTGCCTTGCTCTCCCCAACACTAAATGACCATGAGCTAATAATCATACTTAATTATAACAACTGCATAGCGCACATCCATACATTGCAGTATGCTCTTTGCATTTTAGGACTGATACTACCCCAGCAGACCCTTCAACACCGAGAAACATATTAGGTTTTTCAGGAAGCTTACAATGCAAATAGCCAATTAAGGACTAAGACATTCATAAAATTAAATGACATGACTTTTTTCTTTATTCAAACTAAACCATCCCCAGCGAGAGCTGATTGAGCACATTGTGCTGCCCCACTTCAGCCACTGCGACACGGACCCAGACCCAGAGGTGCGCTGCCAGTCCGTGGACCTGCTGCTGGGCCTGTGTGAGGACTGCCACTCCAATGAGTTCTTTGAACTCTCCATCATTGTGGAGAAGGTAAGAGTTCCTTTTGTGGGAGTCATGAGAGGTTCGGGGCCAGTTAGCTCAAAGAGATGGTGGATTTTGATGCTATTTTTTTCTTATCCTCTTCTTCCTGCTGCATGCATTCCTTTGCACGATCTCTAAGTAATCAACTATCTGTTTTTCAGTCAAAAGTACAAGTGTATTCAAGTGTATTTATCTATTGTTATGAAAAAGGGAAGAGCGCATAATTCTTTGATTCTGTTGGATGAGTCCAAAAAATGGCTTGGTAAAAATACCTACTGACCCCAAAAAAACCTTTACCCGCGTGAAAGCCTATAACCCTCCGTCAAAGTGCACAGTTCACCCGAAAATTGACAGGAAGCTAGCTGAACCATCCAGAAGGAGAAACACGTAACAAAAACAACAGTACCTTGAAAGCAGACTCGGCTACTCTGAAAATACAGTTCACCTTTGAACAACATATTTTTATGGTTAAAACATATATTGAAACAAAATCCCCTAAGCAGATATGGAATCTCTTCTGTAAATGGTTCAGAATTAACATCAAAGACCGTAAGAAAATACCAAGTAAAATAACAATACTTAAGTGGGTGGCCGACTTCAAGTCACATGGCTCTGTTGAAAATAAAAACAAGATATCAAAAACAAGGGTCAACCACAATGGGAGACCGATGCAAGTGCATTCTCCTGAGAGTGTGGCAGTGGTGATTGAGTCTGTGAGGGAAGAACCTAAAAAGTCAGTTTGTGGTCATGGTATTGAATTAACTATTGCAAGGGAATCTGTTCAGCTCATGTTGAAGTACGATTTGAAGTTTAAACTGTACAAGATCCAGGTACATCAAAGGCTCAGCAAATGGAAAATGTCATGAACAATTTCGTCAAGCACCTCAGAGCGTGTATCGCCAGAAACGGATGTCACATGGAGCATGTGCTCCAACTTCCTTCAAACTTAATTTTTATTTGTAAATTTGTCACAATAAAACTGGATGGTGACCAAGTACGTCTGTGAAATCTTGTGTTTCTATCTCTATTGTAAATGTTTTTATGGGTGTCTCCGTGGGTAAAGTTGGTTTTTTTTGTCACCTGGTATGGTCAGTTCCTGTTGTTTCTTTGTGTGGCGTGTGAGAGGTTCTTGAAAATCACTGTAGTATTTCATTTCATCTGTATGCCTAGTGTTTGTCCATAAATTGACCGTGTTATATCTTAGAAGTGAGGGAGGGAGTGAGTGTTTGAGTGAGAGGCGGAGAATGTGATATGTTGATGTGATGCCGTACAAGTATGTTTGTTTTTGTAAAGTGTTTTACGGCGCTCGCAACTGCATAGGTCATATGAGTGCGCGGGACACTCCTAATATTTTCAGTTGGAAGGAAATTTTGAATTTTGCCCGAGTGGCGGACGAAGCCTACTCTTATCGATTTTAGACCACCAAGGGATCTTTAACGTGCACAACATGCACACGGGCCCTCCGAGATTTTTCGCCCTTGTCCGAGAAGGCTAGGTGTAGATCTTTCCTACCAGAAGATCAGGGGTGTGGCAGAAAGACAGCAGTAAGGAGGAACCAAGGAGTAGCAGTAGAAAGGCTGCAGAAAGAGTCAGGAGCCCAGAGGAGGAGGGGGCAAAGGAGGTGAGGGGGTGGGGGCAGAAAGTGGAAATGAAAGCAGACAACAGAACATTGCTAGAGAGCAGGAAAGGAGGTGAAAGGAGACAATTTTAGAGAAGAAAATTTTTCGGTCGCTTCCCGGATTCAAACCCGAGACCTTTGAATGAGAGGCCAACACCTTAACCTCTAGGCCACGAGAGCCCCCCTTATACAAGTATGTGTTGTGTCGTGAAACTGGTGAAAACACAATGCTAATTTCTTCCAATGGAAGATCAATAAATTACAAGTTTGTCTCACTGTATTGTGTTTCTCTGCTTATTTGTCTAGATTGTCAAGAAGCCTCTAGTGAGCAGTTTTGCGGACAGTGAACGTAAAGAGGAGGGAACACTTGGCCCAGAGGAGGCCAGTCTCATTGACGTACGCATGGCTATCCTCAAGATCATTGAGGTCTTTAAGGTAAGACAGAGGGGCTGAGAAAAAGGAAGAAAGAATTAAATATGGAGTGAGAGGGATAGAAAAGCGTAATAGTTGTAAAACGCATAGAGATGCTGTGGAGCATGGATATGTGCTGTGTAAATGAAATTACTATGATTGTTATTAAAGAAGAAGAAAGAGAGAAACCAGAGGAAGGAAAGGGGAGAGAAAAAAAGTGTGTTCGTTGTGGTTTGATGTGTAATATGATTATTATGCCTGAACATGTTTGCAAAAAAACATTTGAACTTCTTCTATGAGATGTTTGATGTGTAAGGTGTATGTGGAGGGCAGAAATGCTACTGGCTGTTGGCTGATGTGTGTCTAAGGTCTGCTTTGTTTTAGGTAGAATTAACAAGCGGATTGTTGGAGGACGCCATTGGTAGATCTTACTTCTTTGCTCTCCCTCTTTTCTTTCTGTCTTGCTTTTTCTCAGCACTTAATGATCTTTATCATGTGGATGTGCTTTCCTCAACTCATGCTTAAAATCTCGAAGGAAGTACATGTAATAAAAGGTCAGGAACATTAACTGTCTTGCTGTCTTGGAGATATACCTCGTGAACTGAAATAATAAAGTTTCGGGCACAAGGCATCTATGCTTTTTTTAAAGAAGGGGGGGGTCGGGGGGTCATCGTCATTGTTGCTGTTGCTGAAGGCAAATGCTTTAAACCTCTTTGTTGCCTTATGACTAACATGGTACGTCATGAAAATGCATATTTTTGAGCTTTGTGCTGTACTACGAATGTCATGGAAATTTGCAAAATATGCCTTTAAGACATTACATGTACATCCTACTAATCATCTTGCTTTAAGTCTTCTTTACAGAGATTTAGCCACAAGCAAAGAGGAGTGGAATCGTATTTGGGAATTTTAAAAATGTTAATATCTGTTCCAAATTTACTAATATTACTTTACAACTAGGCTTGTAAGTGATCAATTTTAAAAAAGCTCCAGTCTTGCAAACAAAAGTGTGCTCTCGCAAAAAGTATTCAACAAAATGACTTGAAAAAGGCAGCAAATTTCTTTTTTGGACTTACATTTACAAATTATTCAAAATTATGGGGATATTTGGAAATGTGAAAATGAGGTAGGTTACACATCAAAGACCCCGGGTCCAAATATGTCATGAGTGGGCTAGAACCAGACAGCGAGCCCACTGAGACTGATGAATAGGTAATAACATTGACATGCATGACGGAGAGTCAGAGATCTAAAGTTTGCGTGGATAAATCATTACTTTTACATGCATGTCTACAATATGTTATTATTTTATTGTAACATTCAGCTGCCTAAAGAAAAAGTTAATGTGAGGGTAGTATGATTATTAAGTCATTTGGTCTTGTTTTCTCTCCTTGTCACCCTTGACGGTGTCTTAGGTGAAACTGTACACAGCCCCAGCCAGTCACTGCCAGCGTCTGTACGAATTGCTCATCTCACACCTGGAGATGCAGTACTCACACCTCTACCTCGGCCGCTTGGCTTGTCAGCTGCGGAAAGCCGTAAGTGAATTCAGTACAAACATGGACACTACCATCTTGCTAACTTAGAATTACAAAGTTTTATCTGTTCAGTACGTAGTTTTGAGAAAGTTGACTTTTAAAAGTTTGATGTTTACAACTTGTCAAGCTTTTTCGAAAGCAATTCTTTGAATATCTTGATGCCTACTGGATAATTTTACAATTTTGATAGAGCAGATAGAACATTTGGTTTCTGGCTTCATGGTCTTAGTAACTCAAGACAGCCAAAAACTATTTGACTGTGAACCTAGTTGAGTTATTCTGGCTGTGACTGACAATATTTTTCCCCCACCCCACCCCCTGTCAGCACATTTTAGATCATTTAGGTGGGCTGCTTCTTCGCTGCCTGTCAAGGCCAATCAGGGCCGCTGAGTGGAATTCATATACCAGCAGATGTACATATGTGTACTAAAAGTTGCCATGCAGGAATAGAACTGACACCTTCTCAGTAGAACAGCAAATAGCCCAAACATTATACTATTGATACTGACATAATAATAATAATAGCATTTGTATAGCGCAAATCTCCGCTCCACAGCAAGTTCTATGCACTTCACAATCTATACTATTATCCCAGCAGACCTGAGAGCAGTCTGAAACAACCTCAACTTCCTGGGAAGCATACAGTGCAAGCAGATATTTACAGGCACTAAAACACTAACATACTGACAAGATCTTTCCCATTCTCACCTGGGTGGAGTGAGGAAAATTCGTGAAAAGTGCCTTTCCTAAGGACACAACGTCGGGTCCGCGGCTCCCACCCCCTGACCCCGCAACCTCACGAATACGAGTCGGATAGCGTAACTACTAGGCCACCGACGCCACAATATATTATATTTGGTTATAAGACAGGGCTGTGGTTGTGATGACTGCACAGTGAGGTGTAATGTAAGCTTTGTACTTCCCTCCGACAGTGAAAAAGAGAAGTTTTTTTTATTGTGTTAAGAAGTACAGTCAGACTTGCTTTAATGGCTACCTGACCAAGACAATCACCTGTCTCCCTTACATTTTGAATGATATAATAACACTGTCCAAAAAGACCACATAAGATTACCACTTTTCTCTACAGTAGTCATCTTTGACAAGTTTGACTGTATTTTAACTCCTTCTGTGCTCAGAGAAAATTTACATACTTCCCTGCAACACTAAGCAATGTCTGAACTGGTTAGGTTCTTGAGTAAATGTGTACGAAAGTTATAGTGAATAAAGCTACTTCACCTGTCACCACAATTTTTTTTGGCTCTTATTAGGAATTGAATGTAGTACCTTATGATTGGGTAAGTTTTTATGCCAACATGTGTGTAAGTCTTATTTGACAAAGGGAAACACATAGTGAAATATAACAATTATATACACCAGACTTTGACATGCATCAAATTAGAAAGCCACAATATAGTAAAGATATTTTGACCTAGGTTGAGCAAGCAGACATTTAATATGAAAAAGAAGCAGGAAATGTTGGGGGAAGAAAGGACCTGACAATTTTTTTCCTCTTACCTTACCTTCATGATTATTCAAGTAGCCGTGTTCATGAATAACTTGCACAAAAGTCTCTAATAACACTGAATTTATGTACATTGCTACAGCGCTGACTTTCATATAGATGCATTTATCTCCACTTGTTTTTAATGTCACTGACTTTTACACATATTTATTTGTCATCATGGTTTTTTGATTCATCTTTCATTTATTTCCCTCAGATTTTCAATCTGCTCTTGTTGCTGCGTGCAGATAGTCGTTCTCGTGTGGGTCTGGCAGACAGGAAGCCAGGGGAGCGCCATGTGTACAGTCCCTACGTCATGTGCCGGCCCAGGTAGTTGTCTCATTATTCACCTATACCTTCATTATTAAAGTACTTTGGTTACCTTGTTAGCGGTTTTATACCTGGTGAACAACAAAGTCTGTAGCAATATTTGTTTATTATTTGTGAGTGTTTTATCTGATTGTGTTATTGTGTCACCATAAAAAAGGCTTGTTCCATGAAGTGCTGCACAGATTCCAATTCAGACTGGGGCAAGCTTAGATTCATCTCATTCTTTAAAGTGGAAATGAATTTGTTCTGACAAAATTATGTCTTTTGTGGATTGAGAGTTCATCCATCGTGAATAATGGCTCTTATAGCAGCATTGGTGTAATGGGTAAGAAGTGAAGTTTGTTTGGTTTTTTCTCACTTGACTAAGTTGTAGGTACCACAGGCCTTCCTGTGTGGCCATATTGTCGTTCTATGGATCACACTCAAACTACTGAAATGGGTTTTGGGTAGAACTTCGAATGATGTCCCACATAAGGATGTCGTGGCATTGGATCACACATTGGAATATTGATCACAAAGTTGTAGGTTCAGTCCTTATTTTTGTCAACTTAGATGTACCTTAGGAAATGTCTTTTACCCTATTTTCCTGTGTCCAGGCAGCAAGGCTACATAACTTTTGATAGACGAGGATGGTCGTTTAGAATGATCTGGCCAGTAGAAGAGGTTATTGTGAATATTTGTGTGACCATTGGAAAGGGGACACTTTGTTGTTCCTGAATTTGATGTTAATGTCATATGTTATATGTTCTAGTGAAGACATGGAGAGTCTTCTGCTGAAGAGCCCGTCGGTACCTGGACTGAGTCCAAGTCAGATCTACTCTGTCATTGAGTACGAACACACTTTCAAGCTGTTTCTGCGTTGTCTAGAGACGGTGAGTTGAAGACGCACTACTGTGTGTGTGTGTGGATGTGGGTGTGTATTTATGGTTCTTAAGTTGCTTCCTCTCTATTTTCACACATATAACACAAGATTGATGTACACAGTAAACTGGTTTGAAAGCTAAAATGTTTTTTTACTGGTAATTCTTTTAAAATGAACTTTGTTTCAAGATAATGATAAACACAATTAACTGGTTTGAAAGCTTGAATTGGGGAGGGGGGGGTGTTGTGTTTTATGTGTATAAATAATTTTGTTTTCCTTCTGGCACTAATTTTTTATTTAGGTTTTCACCCTCACAGGGTCCCATCATGTCATCATCACTTCAGCTAACGCTGTCATTACGAATGATTGTTTCTTCTCTCTCTCGCCCCAGGAGCGTGACTGGACGGTGCTGCACACAGTGTTGGAGAAACTGACACTGGTCCTGGAAAACAAGACCATGGTTCTGTCTGCCTCCTCGGACAACGAGCTCCTAGATGCACTGTGCGGCAAGCTCTGTGCTATGGTGAGACATGTCTCTTAGACTGTTGGTTTAAGTTTTAGTAGGGGGGGGAGCTTCTTGAGCTGAGTTAACAGAGATTCACTTGCAAATATTTTCAAGGGATGTTAGTGACAAGGTTTTAGATGATTGTCACTCGAGTGTATTCCCAAGCAAAACATGACCTTTACTCAAAAATAGAGCATAGCTTGACTTTATGCTTGAGCTTGAGTTTACTAAACACTTGGCCTCGAAGACCCTCACAGATTTTGGAGAAATGTTTACTTACTGTTGTCGCCTGGTGTACATTCAGGGCACAATTATAACTCCTTTCATCTCGTCTCTTCAGGTCAAGGATAGAACAGTGGAACAGTCGAAGAAGCTGATCAACCGCCCGCCTAACTTCACCCGCTCAGACTTCCATGCCTGCGTCTTCCCTGTTTTGGCATCTATGGTCACTTACCATGCCTATCTGGACAAAACTCGACAGGTGAGTGGTCAAACTCTGTTTAGTATAATTAAATCTGTAATATAGGGCTCTGACATGCTGTGTTCACTTGACCTGCATTTTCCCTGATAGGCAGAGCTGAAGCAGCGCACCTTGTATATAATTGAAATTTTGACAATGAGGACTTCCAACATTTCCATCATTATTATAATTAATGGTTTGTCCTGTCTGAGGCTTTGGAACTTTATTTGGCCCACCGCCATTTTTGGTGCTGTCCACAACAGATCAAAATATTTACAAATAATAAGTTACAACTGGTTTTACCAGTGTCTGCAGTATAATGGTTGGGCTTTTCGCCCAGGTGTACAAAAGACAGGAGTTTGGTTATGACACAATAATAATCATTACCCTTCCTATTTTACTGCTTATCCTCTATGTCATTTTTCAATATAAGCACAATAGTTCAATCAGACATAGCTATTTGATCATATTAGTGCTTCTTCAACATCTAAACTTGTTCCTATATACAGCTCAACATATTGCCCATATTGTAAGCATGTGTGGATATGTGCTTTCAGAGAGAGCTGGTGAACTGTCTTGAGTTTGGCCTGGTGTCCAAGTGTGCCAAGATCTGTGTGACCACGCTGCGCATTTGCTCGCTGGAGATGAAGGAGCTGATGATGCGCATGTTGCCCGCGGTGCTGCTCTCCCTCTCCAAGATCTCCGCCACCATCTCCATGGCCATACCCGTGCTGGCTTTTCTTTCTAGTATGTCTTCAACATCCTTATGCTTTGTACTTGGAGTGATTGCATAGACATATTGCAGTAGCACCTTGTTTGTGTTTTTTATCTTCCTCCTCTTGTATAAAAATGTGAACCTGTTGTCTTTACTGTACCTATTAACATATTTGTCAAATTTCTTTTTGGGAAATTAACACAACTTTTATTTCACTAACACCTTTTTGGACCTGTAAGTGTAGTCTCTTCCCTCTTCACTAGTTGCATTTTCAAAATGGCCTTGTGAATATGAAGTTCAATAAGAAATTTTGATTTAGATGGCGGGAAGGTCTTTGGGGACCAGATGAATATGAAATGTAAATATGCCCTATTGCACAATCACGGTCAAGCTGAACAGCCTGAAAGGATTTTTGTACATGATTTTTTCTCAAGCCCTGTATCGAATTGCTTTGTCGTTTTACAGGGAAATATCCCATACAGCCCAGGTTGGCCCTGACAGGCAGAGGTGAAGCAGCCCACTTCCTAAATGACCTAGATTATGTTTTTGAGGACAAATTACATTATTACTGGCACAATCTTTGTTTAATTGTAAATGTTATAAGTGCGTTCTCACATCGGTTGTTCTTGACTCTAAAAAAGGCTAATGTTTCTGTCAGTTTCATTGACTGACACGTTTGTCTGTTATCACATCAGTTGTCTTTGACCTGGACATTATGTATGTGTCCCCAGGTATTGTCCGTATCCCCAAGCTGTATGCCAACTTTGTGGAGGATCAGTACATGAGTGTGTTTGCCATTGCACTGCCCTACACCAACCCTTTCAAGTAAGTTTTGTTGTAACTCAATGGAAAAAACCTTGGATTCCTGACATGTTTCATCTTATTCTATGTTCACCAATTTGTTCTTATACACTCACTCACTTACTTACTCATAATCTCTCACATTTTCATACTACATGATCATGCATGGATGCGCCATTAACCCAGTTGATATCATATCAATCTGTGATGTGGAAGGCCCTATTTCGAATCCTCTGTAGAGCATTCTTGAACTACCCAGGTTGGCCCTGACAGGCAGAGGTGAAGCAGTTAAACGTTATATGCAGAGATCCAGCCTTGCTAATAAACTTACGATGTTCAAAGGGTTGTGAAATCCTTAGTTACCAAATGCACACTCACACTGAATCACTCTCACACACTCGGACAGGCACACACACTCTCTTACTCCACATATTCTTTTCTTCATATTCTCTCACATTACCCACACCTAACACACGCTTACAACCTATTTTTGCCCCTTTCCTCAGGTTCAGCCACTACACCGTGTCACTGGCCCATCATGTGATTGGTATATGGTTCATTCGCTGTCGACTTCCCTTCCGACAAGGATTTGTCAAGTACATCCAGAGGGTAACTTGCTGTTCGCTGTGTACTTTGTTAAGTCTTTTTGGTTAGTTTTAATGCTGTACTTAACATCTTTAAAAAGATATAATTCTCTTTCAATCAGTGAGTAGTTGATACTCATTGTGGTGAGGTCACCCTTCCTACTTCTCTTCAGTGTTACTATTGACTTGATATCTTTATGGCAAAAAGTGTCCAGCAATGAGTCAATGACTGAATGTGCAATATTAAGTGATTTCAATTCCCTGCCAAGTATGTGTTATATTGTCATTGGGATTTCTATAACTGTGTTTAAATGATCCTTCTATTGCATATATGTGTCAGCTTCCCTTATACTATGTGCTTTGTTGCTTTCATGTGTAAATAGTCATTTTTTCATTTCCCTCTTCATTGTCATTGTCAGGGTCTCAAGTACAACGTCCTACAGCTTTTTGAAGAGAACTCAATCCGCCATTTGAGTGCCCACAACCAGGACTCCTCGGATCGCGGCCGGACATCCTCGCTTAATGAAGGACACAGGATGTATGGAGAAATTTCTTGTGTTCTGATATTGAGGGGTACAGGATGTATGGAGGAATTTCTAGTGTTCTAGTATGAAGGGACTCAGGATGTATGTCAGAGAAGTATAGAATGTTCTGGTACAATGCCACCATACATTTTTTCCTTCAACCATCTGAAATGTAATTTTTTCAAAACTTACTGAATGTTCATTGTTCTTCAGTTCCCTGTGCCTCTTTATTTTTTTCATCATATTTTTTCATTTCAAAGCAGTTGCCTTGTAGGGAGGTTAAGATGTTATAGAGCATAATCTATTGTTACCATTCTGCACATCAAACACAGATCTCAGCATGCAGTAAGAAAGATCCAGCAGCTGACCCATGGCCCAGATACATGGATACTGTGACACTCGGGGGGCTAGAACTCATAATGTTAAATTCATGTGTACCATTGCCCCTACCGTTTTTGCTGTAAAGTTTGGTGATGGTATTTGGGGGCTTTCAGTGAGTTATAGAAATGCGTTGAAAATGTTCTCATCTGTTGACAAGTGTGCAGATTCTTTGTAATTTTCATGTCTTCCAGCCGGAGACGCAACATATCGGGGATCGAAGGTGTGAGGAACGATGGTCGCATCCCCATGGACGAGAAAATGTCACAGTTCCACAAAGAGCTTACAGAGACCTGTGTGGACATGATGGCTCGATACGCCTACGGGAACTTCACGGCACTGCCCAAAAGGTAAAATTTGCCTGACTAAAGGTAAATACTAGGGGCTAAAATCGAAAGTGGATGGGAAAGAGAAGAGGGACTAATGAAAAGAAACGCAAAGTCTAGTTACCAGGCACTGGACTTCCAGCATTATACACTGAGTTGAATATGAGACAGCTCGTCTTTCCTGTTTCCGTGAAGTGGGATAAATCACCCCCCATAGCTCTAATTTTTATATTTCCAAAAGCATATTTAGCATCCAATTTTTTTTTTACCTGCACATTCCTCTTACATTGAGCACTTTCCAAGACAGAGGAAGTTATCCGAAAGATTTCTCTGCTTTCCTATTCTACTGCACTTAATGGCTGTTGTTGTTCTTCTTCTGGCTGGCCTCCGTCAGGAGGGCGGCAGTCTGCCGCAGGCAGATAGGTAAGCGGCAACCATCCACTTATGGCTGTTGTTCTGCCTGGTTACTTTTGCCAGTCTGTCAATGCCCTCAAGGGACATACAATGTCGTAGGCCATTTGGGGCATACCGCAGCCATTCATATCTTTTTTCTATTTCTGTTTCTTCAGATTTCCAAGTTCCAATTTATTACTGAGTGAAGTATGGAAAATGGGTTTAATTGTTTGTCTTTAGTATTCAGGGAATCAAACTCCAACCTTTTAATCTGAAGTCCAGTCAGTTCCTCACCCCTAGACTAGGGTGTGAATGACAGAGTGCTAATGCCTGCAAGGAGTTTAATTATCCAGAAAGCTATAGCCATTGAGTGTCTTGATGCTTTGTTTTCACATTGATGAACATGACGCGATATGTACATCTCATTGGCCAGGTCTCCTATGGCTCAGTTCCTGCTGAAGGACGGACAACGTGGTATGTGGGTGGTCGGCAACAAGATCATCACCATCACCACCAGCGGTGGAGGAGCCAAGACCAATAACTCTGGCCTCTGCGACAAATGCCTGTCCTCTTACCTCAACACACAGGACCCCAGAAAGGAAGTCAAGCGCTCAGCTCCCATTGCCATGGGATCCAGCGCTGGAGAGTCCCGGCGTCGCCACAAGTCTATGGCTGCCTTGGGACGCTCACAGACACAGGTGTGTAGGTGACATGGAGTAGGGGTAACTTCTGGGAAAGTTTATATGTTTGTTTACTTTGTGACTGTTTATGTGTCCATGTTCATACATTATGTGTGTGGGCCTAATAAAAAAACCTGTTGGAACTTGGAACATTTTCTATGACTCCCTTGGACTTTCGCAGGCGTGTATTAGGTCCTATTTACCCATAGTTTAGGTATTTCGCTGTTGCATGCAGGAAATGTTAATTTGATTCTCAAGTAAGAAAGCCTGTTTTATCAAGTGTGCCTATCTTTCTGTTGGTATGCTGTATCCCACTCAGCCTGGGCTTGAAAAAGATTACCCTGTTCTACTTACTTCTGTTTCCTTCTGTTGTCTCTGTCTTTTTGTTTTACTTTTTTCCGAGCACTAAATTAACGTTATTGTGTTGCTTTGGTTCTCTTTACTCAAAAAAAAGCTGTTTCCTATGACTGTATCAGGTTTTGTCAAGGTAGGGCGAAGGGAAGGGAAGTTATCACACATGTCTAGAAATTGGACTATACTATGGGTAAAATGGGTTTAGAAATGTTTTTTTAGCATAGACTTTAAAGGCAGTTTTTACAGCTTTGTTGTTATCTCACTAGAACTCTAAAATGTTGATAAGAATGTAAAACCAGCATACTTCCAGCAGTAATGATATGAGTGTGTCATCAGGTTGACTCTCTAGGCATCTCCTTGGAGTGTGAGGAGCCACGTCGCTCTCGTGATGACATGAGTCTACCACAGGAAGCCAGCACGGACATTTTTGGCCGGGATGATGCTGCAGTCCAAACGGGCAGTTCTTTGACCACCAGCGCCAACTCAGATGCCATGGATGCTGGCTTTTCAGGTGGGTCATCTCAGCCAGAGATTGTTGTTTGGAGGGTGGGGGATTACTTATTCATATAAAACTGGTCCTGAAATTTAAGTAGTAAAAATCCACTTACTACAATGAGAACTATTACATTGCTGTCACAAGAAAAACTAGCGACTCTAAATTTATTTCTTCTCTTTGTACAAGCTTCTGGAATGCTGTATTTTTATCTAGGGCATTTAACTGCTTCGCTGCTCCTAGAAGTAGGCCTACATTATTTGTGAAAGTTTGTGAACTACACTTGTCTAAGATAATACAGAAGAAATGCCCATGGCACGTTGTCTTTCCCAGGTCCCAAGGGTCGTATGTCTGAGCAACGGACATTCTCGCTGTCCCAGTGTAGTTGTTGGTGCACGAGCTGGGCTGAGGTCAACATCCGTGGGGCCAGTGGTGTGGTGTGCTGGATGATGAGAATCGAGAATGAGTCCAGCAGTCCCAGTTTCAGCTCTGACCCCTCTGCACCGGACATAACCCAGCTCCTGGCACCCGTCAGATGCAAGTGAGTTCTTACAGTTTGTACGCTGTTGAAGCTGCAAGAGGCTGGATCACTTGAGAAATTCATTTAAAGGTTGTATGAAAAGCCGCAATAGAATGTTTTTATGTTGAGGCTTTTAGTACAGCCTTTTTGTGATTTGATTACAGTGAATAGTGTGTGGTACATAGCATGTTAAGCATTTTTGAGAAGCTGGCAAGTTTTTACAGTTTATAATGTGTTATGTGCTGTGTAGGGTACATGATATGGTTTAAAGTATCTAACTGCTAAAGGCGCTAGTGTAATAATAAGTGAACTGTCACAAGTTATAGTGTGTTGTGTGCCATATCTTGGTTATATTTAGGGAGGGTTAGCCATACCGACATCTGTCGTATAAAGTTTAGGTATTTCGCAGTTGCATGCAGGAAATGTTAATTTGATTCTCAAGTAAGAAAGCCAGTTTTATCAAGTGTGCCTATCTTTCTGTTGGTATGCTGTATCCCACTCAGCCTGGGCTAGAAAAAGATTACCCTGTTCTACTTACTTAATCCACCTGCAAATGGATTTGTAGCTGTCACTGCTCACAATTTATGTAAACATCTAAATGATAACATTATGCTCCTTCTTGAACTCATAAGTGTATGTCTCCTCCCTCCCTCGGGACAAAAATGATAAATGAAGATGACTCTATTTAAAGTTGAATGAGCCGCCATGGGAAGGGTAGAAATAATGACTTAATGTTCTGTGCTCATGAAACAAATGTAGGCATATATTTTTTTTCTTTCCTTAGTGGATTGTAACACATCCTGTGTTTATCCTTGTTGTGTATTCCTAGGACTCCAGACTCTGACAGTCTGGGCAAGATTGACAGCGGAAGTCTTTGTGAAGAGGAGTATGAGACATTACACTCACAACATTTCTCTGAGGCAGAGAGAAGATGTGAGTCCTTCTGTGTCTGTTTGTGTGTGTGTGTGTCTGTGTGTGTGGGTTTTTGGTGTGTCTGTGTGTGTGTGTGTGTATAAGAGAGAGAGAAAGAGAAAAAGAGAGAGGAGTTTGCGACATTACACTTGTAGCTTTTCACCGAGGAAGAAAGGGGATGTAAGTCCTTAAATGTGTTTGTATATATGTATGTATATCTGTGTGTGTTTATGGGTTAACGTGTGTGTCTATGAGATATGTGTCTGAGGGACGTGTTTGAGGAGTAGAGAGGTTATACTTGCACCATGCCAAGACTATATTCTTGTGCTTATCTAGATATGTGTGTGTCCATGCATTTCAGAGTGAATATCTGAGACTATGACTTCACTGGTTTATTAGTTTTTGTTTGGTCTTCCTGTGTATGTGTTTTATGGTGTGTGTTATTGGTTTGTGTGTGCACATGTACATTTGGGTGTTTTCATTCATGTGGCATAAATGCATGCACCTGAGCCACTTGATTTTGAGTAATTTTATTTGTATTAATTACTTCTGTGCTTTGCTTTGATATGTCTCTGACTCTTTAAAACAAGTTTTATAGCAACCTGGAGGCACCCAAACATACAGTTTCATTTGTGAAGATTTGCAGTGTTGATGTATGAAGAAGAATATTTAGATGGAACTCCATCTATTACAATTTGTTTTCTTTTACCTGTTTCTTGTCAGTGTTTCATGAAGAACCACTCAGTCAAACAGACACTCCTACCCAAGATGTGAGTATGTGTAAAGATAGTTTCCCCAAGATGTGAGTAAATGTACAGATAGTTTCCTACAGAAAGTGAGCACATGTGAAGATTGTTAGTTAAAATGTGAGCATTTATAAAGATTGCTTCCCCAAGATGTGAGTATATTATATGTGAAGATTATTTCCCCAAGATGTGAGTACATGTAAAGATTGTTTCCCCTGAGATGTGAGTACATGTTAAGACTGTTTCATCAAGATGTGAGATATGTAGAGATTGTTTCCCTAGTGTGTGAGTGTACTTGTAAAGATTGTGTGCTCAAGATGTAAAAATTGTTTATCCAAGATGTGGAAAAATTGTTTTCCCTGTGTCCACCAGGTATCAGACTCTATCCAGACTGACAGCGACCTCCAGTTCCAGTCCCCCAGCAACCTGCGCCGCATCAGCTCCTCCCCCTCGGTGCTCAGCGGCTCCCAGGATACATGCCAGTCACCACGGGAACTCCTGCGGGAGCTGGTGGAGTGCACAGAACGCGAGAGACAAGCAGAGACGGCCACGCGGGTCGAGTCTCTTGGATCACGCGCCCGGCCTGAGGCTCAAGATTTTTCTCACACCGACACCACCTTCCCACACAGTGGGATCAGAGAAAGAGGTTCATCAGGTGCTACTGCGGACCCTGACGTTCTGGGGACCCGCAATGACCCTCAGCAAGGGAACAGCTCTGATGGGAATGCGCAGAGTTCATCGGTGATCTGTAAAAGCAGACGGAGTGGAGAGAAAAGCTCAGATCTGGCGAGACAGTTATCTCTTGAGGAAGAGAGTCCTACTGATGTAGCCAGACTGACCAAAATGACCTCTCAGAAGTCAGCTGAGAGTAGTGATAGCGTGTTTCACGTAAATCCTGCCTTGACAGGCACATCTTTCCCGGCAGGGCGGGTGGGCCACCTGGCCTCGACCTCATCTGATGGAAAAGCTATGGTTCATAGGTCAACATCAACTGGGAAAAGTTTTGAGCCCAAGAAATCTGTACAAAGGACGATGTCTGAAGATCTCGCTGGGAAGAAACGTCCAGAAGCCTTGAACTTGTTGTCTTCTCATACCAAGGTCTTTGACAGGGCTGGTGAGTGGAAGAAAAAGAAGACTTTTCTGGGAATTTCTATGTTTATTCAAATGTTGCATGTTCAGAACTTCGTGTTCCTTGTCAGACAGAATGTGTTCATTGTTTTGTATGTTTTGATAACATATCCTTTAGTTTACCATGTGTTGGTGGTTTGCTCTTTTTTTCCCCATCACACATCTATCATCCTTATTCTCCTTCTTTTCTTTGTATGTTACTCTCTAGCAACATCACCCCCCGGGGCAGTGCCACTGACTGAAGTGTCTTTAGGACATTCCCAAAGGGGGGACATTTCATGTTCAAGCATAGTAGAATTGTAAATGGGCTGACTCATATCACACTCATAACTGTGCCTGATCTACAACAGGGAACTGCTGCTTTTTCTTTCCTGATGTCATTTTCCTCTACTTCTTTTGTATGTTTGTCACTCTCTTGTGACCTGCTATTTTGGGGTGCCTTGATAGTCGAAGTGTCATCAACAAGGCAGGGGGAACAGACGAAGACATTTAAGTCAGAATCCAAAAGGCAAGAGCAGCATTCATCATTCTCAGGAATATATGGATGTCTAAGGAACTGGGATTAAACACCAAACTGAGGATCTTCAAAACGAACGTGAAGACTGTTCTACTGTATGGTTCAGAGACATGGAGGCTCACAGCAGCATCAGCAAGGAAACTGCAGAACTTCGTAAATGGATGCCTACGAAGGATAGTCGGGATCAAGTGGTACGATCGAGTCACGAATGCTCAACTGTGGGAGAGAACAAGCCAAAGGCCAGTAAAGGAAGATATTCAGGTGAAGAAATGGAAATGGATTGGACACACCCTGAGGAGACCCCCGACAAGCATCATCGGGCAGGCTTTAACGTGAAACCCACAAGGAAAGCGTAAGAAGGGAAGACTAAAGATGACATGGAGTAGGTAGCGTAAACACGGCCTCGCGGGCTCTCGCGGCCTTCCGACCGCGTGGTATCGGTAAAATCGGGGTAATTCCGATCGCTGTTTCTTTGCTCTTTCGCTATAAAACACCAAATGCCGTACACCTTGTAAAAGTTCAGCTTTTCCTCGTTACAATGGTGTAAGTTGTTTATATGTCCGATTATTAGGAGCTGGAGAATCGCCGACGAAAGCGAAGCCCTCGGGGTCGGAATGCGAGGTCGGCCGGTTGAAAAATTGACATGCGTGCATTCAAATGCTTCGCAGAACGAGGGATGATTAAATACCGACTTTTCATTGGCGGAGAACTGTAGAGCTTTAAACGGGCTTTCCCGTGAGATAAGTTTAGCCTTTGGCGTCTTTATAGAAAGCTTTTAAAAATACCGTCAAAATGTTTAAAGATCCCTTTTTACACAAAATATGTATAATACCGACTTATAACAGGTATCAATTAAAAGATTAGTTCATTTTCTATTAGAATAAAGTTATTAACTTGGAATTATTTTTCATCAATCCTTCCGCGAGACTCAGACAGCATGTGACCCCGCACGCGGGTACACTACAATATAGAGCCGACTCGCTCGCCGCGGGGGCCGGTGCGGTGCCGGCCGGGTCAACGCTCAGTGTTTTTGTCGAAATAACAACAGATCATCGTGTTTGAGGCGATAAAATACTGATGTGTAAAGATCTCACAGTCTTGAAAAAAATTAGGCTCCACATATTTGTTATAGTGATTGTGCTCTGTTAATGTGGAGATGTTTAGTGCACTTGGTACTCTTTTATTGTCTGTCAAACATGGGGTTGCAGCCTGTGACTGACTTCAACAAATTTGATCAAATTTTAAACAACTACAATTTTCTTAAAAATTGACGGAGAGGTTAAAGAATGGTACCAAAATGCTCGGTGGATATAGGCCTTTCAAATGGAACAGATAAATTTGGCATACAGCTAGTTTGAAAATTTAGTTTTTGGTACCTACATGGAGACGAGCGGTACAAGCGGAAATTGAAAAAGCGGGAACATCATGGAAACAGATGGAAAAGGATGCTCAGGACAGACTTCGCTGGAGTAATGTTGTTGATGGCCTGTGCTCCACTGGGAGTTAAAAAGGGCAAGAGAGAGAGATAGTCAAAGCAGACCTTATGTTGTTGAAGCTAGAGAGGTGAGCAGTCTAAGTCTGATTCCCTGTAAAGAGTTCTCTGTTGACACCCACCCCTTGGCGCTCTTATGACCTTATGCAGTTGCGAGGGCCGTAAAACCCTCTACTATAAAAAAAAAGTTAAAATCTAGCAACATCTCTAATCTTTGACACTTATGACTTAATTGTGTTACAAATGCCGTAAACTCTTACTAAAACTAAACCAGAGTACCATTTAGTCTGTTCTGGGAGTGCTCCTCCTCTGATGCAGCTCCCTTGGAAAAACATGTTTGTCTTCTTTTAGCGAAAGGCAAGTTGAAATGCTTCTCTTTTCTCCCAACTGAAAACAGTCATAATTGTATGAATGCTGTGCTCTCTCTTACATCAATATTGTGGACTCTCCTAAATCTGATAACCCCTTGGCGCTCATATGACCTTATGCAATTGCGAGTGCCGTAAAACCTCTACCAAAACTAAACTAAATCTGATAAAAATTTCTTTGATCCAGCGGTTGAGGACTCCCCCAACGAGTCGAGTACACCGTCCTCCTTACAGGACGAGGTCCCTGAGCTCCGTCAGCTGAAGCGTCGCGGCCACACCATCTCCGTCATGAGCCCGGCTGGCCAGGTCAGGCACTCGGATGACTATGATGGCCGCTTGCAGTCCGGGGGACCCAAGGACGCTAAGGGTGGTCTCAGCCCCAGCTATGTGTTCCTGCAGCTGTACCAGTGCCACCCTATGGTGCAGAACCAGGAGGTACCACTGAGGGTACCCGATAATGACGTGAGTAGCCCAGGTTATAATGTGGACTTTGTGACTTTGTCTCTGATCTAAAGTCTACACACTGGCATCCATGGCGTTGTGTTTAGGCTTTTCGCTGTCATGGGCAGGAGATGTAAGTTTAATTCTCGTATAGGATGATTTTTATCTAACAGACCTCCTGAATGGTCTAAGTTGTGCTGATATGTGTATGTGTGTATATGTAATTTACAATTACATATATAAAATCCATACATTCTATCAGAAACAGTAACTAGCTAGTTGAATCTTTTTTGTCAAGGCCAACTTACATACTGCTATGTTTGAATTTTTCAACCAATTTTGTTTCAGAAATTTCGACGAACTATCGACATGCTGGATCATATCTACCCATACGAAACCCACAAGATCGGAGTGCTCTACATGGGCAAAGGACAGGTGTGTCTTGTTCACTAGTTCAGGCCTATGTTGAACTGTAATCTTTTATATTTTTTAGAGCACGCAGCTCTTGTTTGTCAATCACTGATAACCCCTTTTTTTTCATTTTTTAATTGTATTGTTTATCTCTTTTCAGAGGGGATATCTCAATTTTGTGCTGTGGCTGGAGGTCACTACTTGTAGGTTCTACTTCTTTTAGTATTCCTGTCATTTTTCTCTCTGTCTCTTGCTTTTTTCATGACTAAATGACAAATATTGTGTAAAATGATATTTTCTTTACTCAAACTCTGTTGTTTTTTAAATTTCTTTTCCATGTACAGTCGAACCTGCCTTAACGGAAACCTGTATAAAACGGAAACCTGTCTTAACGGAATTTCCCCGCTCCCCCCTTGATATATTCCTCTTTAAATACCTGTATAAAACGGAAACCTGTCCAACGTGGAAACGGAAAGAAAAATCCGCTCCCTTCCGAGGGTTTCACTTGTCTAAGATGGAAAATGCTTTGCCCGCTCAACCCTGATTTAAAACAAAACTCGCAAGTTTAGTTCCACCGGCTATAAACTATAAACTTAACGCAATGGCCGTGAGCGCGGGCGAAGAAGGAGAGTAGGGGTGCAATTAGGGGGTAGATGTTACCCCATCATGTGAGCCCTGAGCGATGCAGATGGTCAGTGTAGTGTGGATGTGAAATCTCACGACTGCCCGTGAGAGTGCTCGAGTAGCCAGCCACTACGAAAACTTTCCTGGGTAGCCAGAAGCCAGAGGTGTAAAATTAGATTGACCAATGCCGCTCTGATCGTAGGCCAGCCGAGAAAAGAGTTCCTCGAATCGTTGTTACAATGATGGCAGTGAGGGGTGGCACTGGTGGGTGGGGCTAAGGGTGGAAGCAAAGGAGACGTTCAAACGTTGCTGTTTTTAATAGGTCAAACAGTGGTCCTATGAAAAGCAAGCACTTGTGGTAATTGGATAAGTAAAACTGACGCATGTCATTATCAGACAGGATAGCAGTTGAGAGGTGTGAAATTTTGACCACTGCTTGCCGTTCGGACAAGCCATCCTTGATCCCACCGGCTGGGCCTTTGAACCCCCCCCCCAAATTCCCCTGTCTAAGACGGAAAATGCCTAAGACGGAATTTTTTTCCCGTTCCCTTGCGATTGCGTCTTACGCAGGTTCGACTGTACCATGCTTTTTGTCTGCCATGAGGGCTTTTATGGATGATTTTTTGAAGCAATGATTCTTTTTTTTTTTTTACATTTCCTCCTTCATCTGTAATATAGGTAGAATCCTCTTTGTTTGATTGGGTGCACCGTTTATACAGTTGATGTAATGCTGGGCTATTCTGTGGATGGTTTGAATCTCTAATCTCCAAAGAAGTGGTCTTCAACTTTGTTTGGGGAGTTTTCAAAGACTTCCTCCTGCTTGGCTTTGTTTATCAGAGATGGGCGTTAGATTTAGAGGTCAGGCTTCAAATAACCTTAATGCTGAATAGGGCATTAAACACTTTCATTTGCCATTTACCTTTGTTTGATGTATTGTTCAAACTGCTCCGTAGCCGAGTGATGAGAGGACGCTGCTGGGTAACGAGTTTGGATCCCCACGCTACACAGAGTTTCTTCAAGGCTTGGGTCAGATGATCAGCATTGAGGAGGCAGAGCGGGACAAGATCTACCTGGGCGGCCTCAACCCCAGCGATGGAAAGTTCACCGTCACCTGGCAAGACGAATCACTCCGAGGTTAGGCAGGGATAGACAGAGAAAATTCTTTATATTTATGCCATATAGGGAATGTTTAATTTTCCACATACAGAAATTGCTGGCTAAGCTGTTTACAGCGTGTCTTTGTGTATAATTGTGTCTACTAAGTAGAGACATCTGTATATCTCTTGATTTAGTTTGCAATTTCACCAGGCTGAATTTACTTGGTTTTGTGCAGACAGACAGACCAGGAGCAGGAGTTCATGCTGCTTTTATGTCTGCCTTTTTCTGCCAGCAATGAAAACATTTTCTTCTCTAAAATTTTCTCATTTGTGGTCCTTTCATGTTCTCTAGTCCAGCTCTCTCATCTTCTTTCCTCTTGACTCTTTCACCCCCTTCCCCACCCCACACTCCTGACCCTTTCTCTGCTCCTGTCTTCTTAACTCCCGACTCCTTAGTGCTGTCTTTCAGCCACACCCCCTCATTGGGTAGGTAAGGTGGAACACCTAGCCTTTTCGGATATGGATGAAAAATCTTGGAGGTACAGAGTGCATATTGTGCACATTAAAGATCCTTTGGTGGACTTAAAATCAATAAGAGGAGGCTCTGGCCGCCACCAGAGCAAAATTCTAAATTCATTTCTACCAAAACTGATTTTACTCTAGTTACTGTAAAAATACAATAGCGTACCTTCAAAATTGGAATTTGGCTGCCTTAAATTTGAAGGTAAGGTTCCTGTAGGGACAACATTAATGACATAAAAATCAGTTGCGCTGCAGATTGAAGAACCAGCAGTCAACTTACCTTCAGATCTAGCTAGAGGACGCAAAGAAGAAGAATTTGCTAGCAGGCTAGATAGGATGTTGTATCTCATGAAATGGTACATTGCTCTATTTTACTTTGTCCTTTCCATCACACTTTAGCTTTGTTCTTATATATGCTTCTCATGTAAGTATTAGTCCATCCCTCTGTGTTTCCCCCCCTCCAGTGATCTTCCACATTGCCACTCTGATGCCCACAATGCCAGGAGACACACGCTTCAACAACAAGAAGAGCCACATTGGCAACGACTTTGTCACCATTGTCTACAACGACAGTTCTGAGGACTACAAGAGTGGGACCATCTCTGTGAGTTGACCTCTTTATATTGTCATGTACATTTACTATTAAAGCTTGTAAGAGGTGGTATCGCTTAACAATATCTCAGAAGGGTTGTCTTAAAAGCCTCAACACAAGAAATTTACATTTGGTGTTTCTGTTACTAAAGACCATTCTTTACTGCACAGTGACATAAACTCAGGCTCACACTGGGGTTCAAACCTTCGAGTCTGGCAGCCTAATGACTTGACTTTTGACACCATTGTTGAGGTATCTGATAAATCTATCTTGACTTCTGTGAAATAAGTCCAACCTGTACTGGCATCTGTGATGAAATGGTTATGCTCTTAGTTGCTGCATGCAGAGTTCAATTCAAGAGTGAAGACGTTTATTTTATCAGTTATCTCCATCTGTCTATGTGGATGCTTAATCCCACTCAGCTCTTGTAAGCAAGGTCACAACAGCACTTTTTTTAAATTACTTAAATCGAGTCGATCATATTTTCTAACCGTAAGCCCAAACTTTGGAGTGTGGGACCCCCACTTCCCGCCCCATCACTGATATATGCTCTACTTTGTCTCCAGGGTCAGTTTAACTTTGTGAGCATTGTGATCCGCCCGCTGGACTATGAGAGCAATGCCGTTTCCCTCATCACAAAAGAAGGTGAAATTTTTCTCCTTTATCTCCACCCTCTCTTGTTATCTTTTCCTGCAAGTTTTCTATGATTGTCATGCAATGGTGTACATAGATTTGAATATATATTGATCGCTCTCTGTGACTCATGATTTGTATGCTGTGAATGTTTGTGTTTAGATCTGATCTCCAAATTGAAGTATGAAAGAAAAAATATTCTTTTTTGTATTGCCAAGTTTTTGTGATGGGGAGAGAGTTTTTTTATATTTTGTTTGAATTTTTTGTCTACTTCAAGCTGCTTTTTATGATTATATTTTTTTTCTTTCTCCGCACCCACAAATTTGGAAAATCAATGTTTTATTGTTGTCACTTTTCTTCATGACATTCAGTGTTGCATTATCACAAATATTTTGCTGTCGTCCCTTGTAAAATTAAACTGTGTACAGTGTCCCTCAATATTGTCTTTCCCAGTTAGTTATCGATGGTGTTATGCTCTAACCCTGTAACTAAAAGAATTAAGATAACTCTTCTTTTGTTCTAAAACCATTGCCGAGGTCATTCTGTGGGCCCTCACTGAAAATCAATTTGTATTCATTGTTGATTGTGTATATATACATATATCAGTACCTTGGGCTTACTTTTGTGTCTTTTCTCATCATTTAAATCAGAAGTTTTTTTTCTTACCTGTTGAAAGTTTCCAAGAAATCAAGTTACAGTCAGAGCATGGCACCAAACAGCTTTGTCTACCCATGCCCCACAGAAATAAGCCATGTATACTGTTATTCAGCATGTACCTGGGTGGATATCATATCACTTTACTTTCCCTTGAGCAAGCATAAAATCAAAAAATAATATTTGATTCCCTTCCTTAATGTAATCTAAAGTTGCTGGTGGTATGAGAGCGCAACTGATAGTACCTACTTTTCTTTCTGTCTGTTTCTTCTGTCTGCCTGTTTTGTCTGTTCCCTGCACTAGATGACAGTTGCGTCATTGTGCTGCTCTTTACTCAAAGTCCTCAATCAACAATCTTGCCCTACCAAGTTGGAGCGGTACTTAAATATTTTGATGTTTATTTCTCTGTTTCCCTTGTCATGCTTTCTCAAATTTTTTCTTCTGATTCTAGCGGAATTGAGAGATCAAATCACACCAGGTAGGGCCTAGTGGCTTGGCCCCTGTCCTTTCGTTCTGCACTGCTAGCGAAGGGATAACATAAAGCCCACGCTTGGCATTTTGTCGCAGACTCTAGTTGTACTCATAAGACAAAGCTAGATTTGTTGTTACTGAAAGAAATCAGGAGGCTATCCAGCTAAACGATAAACAGAGAAGAAAAAAGCCAAAACATGAATGTAAAAGTAAAGATTGAAGTACCCTGTGAATGGAAATAGAAATTTACGGTTATGAATGTTGTGAATAACAAGTAAATACTCTGAGTATATGTATAGAAAATAGAAATGGAAATTTGAAACATTGTGCGAATGAAAACATAAGAAAAAAAATTAAGTGTTAGGTGTTACAAATTTGTAAATGGAAAAATAAAAAAATCTAAGAATTACAGGGTATTTTTCTAAATTTATATTTGAAGTGTAATGGGAACAAAAATTTAAAACATAAGTAAGTTTTATGATTACATGAAAGAAAACTAAGAATTGCTGAGTGAGAAATGTATTCTTGTTTCTGTTTTTAAACAAATCAAAAGCTCCTTAGTAATTGTTCCTTACTAACTTGGTAACTTGAAAAGACTATAAACAGTCTGTTATTAACCTATATCACTGATTTCAAGTTCCTTTTATCTGTTCAGTCATTTCTTGAAGTTATTTGGTAATAAATGTCGCTGACTTACGAAGAGATAATGTTGTCTGCTCACAACTGAAGATCTAACTTGTTTCTTGTTAAAACAGTGTCCATGTTTTATGAAATCTAATTCTAAACATTAGTGGTCTGCACTTGACTTAAAATGATAAGAGTATCATTTGAACCTTTACCCATGTGTGCATAGGTACACCTTACCCATTCTCATATGGTATGTCTGTTCACATATTCTCTCTCTCTCTCTCTCTCTCTCTCTTTCTCTCTCTCTCTCTCTCTCCCTCTCTCTCTCTCTCTCTGTCTCTCTCCCCCCCCTTCTCTCCCTCTCTCTCTCTTTCTCTCTCCCCCCCTCTCTCCCTCTCTCTCTCTTTCTCTCTCCCCCCCCTCTCTCCCTCTCTCTCCCTCTCTCTCTTTCTCTCTCTCTCTCTCTCTCTCTCTCTCTCTCTCTCTCTCTCTCTCTCTCTCTCTCTCTCTCTGTCCCTCCTTTCTTTCACATTGCACACCCTAAACATCTTTCATCTTCACATACTATCTTTGTTGCAAATGCACTTGTTTTCTCACATGCACACACTCACACACACACACCATTTCTTTCTCTCCCTCTCTCGCACAAAGCTGAGCTGTCCTATTTGTTTATGTTCATATGTAGGTGTATATACAACAATATGTACTCTGCGTGTCCCTTCCCCTGTTTTTCTTTCTCCCTCTGTAATCTGAGTTTGGTGCGTGTTCCTTCGTCTCTTTCCCTATTGCCCACAAACTCACAATAACATAAGAGAGATCTCTATTTTCTCTATGATCGTCATTAATGCGATGAAACTTTCATAGATGATAAAAAAATTAAAGAATTAAAATGGAAAGAAAAATTAAGAAGCCTGTGAATGGAGTACATAAAATGGCCATGTTTATTTCTCTTTGCTGTTTAGCACAATGAGACATCTTTTGACTTAACCTCAGTTGGTTTTCCATTATATGAAGAACAGGACTTGAAAGTTATGTTCACAAAATTTGTCTAGTGAATTATTGTATGAATCACTTGACTGAGATAAGATTTTTTTAAATTACTTCATTAAATTAATGAATGAAGTTTCTTGAATTAAAATTCCTTGAATAATTCAAATGAAATTATGCATTTTCAATTGATATGGTTTTCTAAAATATAGTGGGACCATTGATTATCCTGTACTGAAGTACTGAATTGTTTTAAGTGAAAGAGATGTTCTTTATGTCATTAAGATGTCTCAGTTGAAACAAGACATTGGTTTTTGTATGATATTATATCAACCCAGGATGATTGTTTTCAAGTAGAAAAATACTTGTGTGAAATAGAAACCATTGGTTAAGTTGTAGTTTCTAAGATCTCATAGTCATATTTGAGAAACTTCTTCTTGCTCATCATTCCATTCTTATTGTTTTGGATAAATGGACACACACACACATATTCACACTCGTACAGATTCTTTAAGGTTGAGAGTAGACTTAATACAGGTCCCCATAAAGCCTTAACCTGTCACTGCAGCTGTGTGATGGGTGTGCCTCTGAGTGCTCTCACCATTGTGTATGTGTGCATGCACTTGTTCTATCCCTGCAGAGTTTTGCCTATACATGCAAGCTTAATGGCTAAAATGCGGGCTTACCTATCTTATGTTCAATAACGTAAAACTCTGTGAATTGTTCAGAATTGACTCTTGGTTTTTTTAGTTCAACAAAATAAACAGTTTTTCTCTTTAGTGATCCTTTTTCAGAAGACACTATCACTATTTGTTTCAATTTTTGTCTGTGAATGGTGACATGCTCAGAGAGCAGGTATTAGTATATGTGTGTGTAAATGTGTGTGCATGCGCATCTGTGTATCTGATGTGTGTGTGTCTCTCTCCATTTAGGTTCCAGTGGTGAAATGAAGGGTAAGGATCTGAACCTCCTGCCTCTTAGTCTTTCCCTCTTTTCCTTCTCTCTCCCTCCTCTCTCTTCCTCTCTCTCCCTCTCTCTCCCCCTCTCTCCCTCTCTCTCTCTCTCTCTCTCTCCTATCTCTCTCGACTTTCTCCCTCCCTCCCTCAGTGTCAGCTGTCTTCCTCAGCCTGGCTTATCCTGATGCTTGTCTCATCTACTGACCCTACCTCTGACACTCTGAGCTCTGTCCTTCCCGCTTATTTAACAAGGTGAACTCTTGGGGTGCTACTGGTGTCCACTGCAGACTGACCTGTGATCTCTCAGCATGTGTAGGCAGTGTGTAGAATGCGGTACAGTAACCTGGCAGGTTGCCGCTGGCTTGTAATTGAAACTTTTGAACTTTTGCTTGGCTTTGTCTACAGCTTTCATCTTGCATAGACATTTTTATTTCTTTTATTTTCATTCTCCTTTTTATCACAAAGGCAGTGTAATTAAGAAAACAGACTATTTGCTTTTAGAATAATATCTTTACCATGTAAGCGTAGAAATATTTTGCCTCGAGAAGGTGCTTCTGATAGGTCTTCTTTTCTTTCCCTCTGTTGTTTGTTTACCTTGTCTTGCTTTTCTTCTGCACTAGATCACCTATATCCTGTCGATGCGTTCTCTTTACTAAAACTCTAAAGATTACAGCAGCAAATGAAATTGCTTCCATCTACATCGGCCTTTGTCTCTCTGTTGCTAAAGTGAGCACTAGTCTCATAAACATCTGAAGAGTATCCCACTATGACTTGAAGACGGTCCACACACCGCCCATCATTCTTCATTGTTGCTCCCCTCCAACCCCCCCCCCCCCAAAAAAACCCACAAAAAAACAAACAAAACAACCCCCCCCCCCCCCCTTTTTTTTTCCTTTTTTTTTTCATTGAGAGTTAAACTGATCAAGTAGTGTTTGTTGACTGGAACCCTTTGAAGGAAATTTGATCAGCTTGGTAGCAGCATCTTGCAGTTCTTATTATACAAAAATAGAAAGAAGTCAGATTAGTGTGTCGGCCTTTTTAAGTTTGCATGGGATGTGGGTGGGTGGAGGGTGTCTTGGGTAGATCTTGCTTCTTCATTCTGTTTCTATTATATTGTATCTTTCTGTTTGTGTTGCTTGCTCGTAGCCTTAAATGGATATCACTGTGTCAATGAGAATTTCTTTAACAACACTCACACACATATAGTGCTGACCTAGTAGATCATATCACATTCAGCTTGTTATCGCTAAAAATCCCATCGGTGATTGGAATTATATTTTTACTATCAATTATGTAATGACAAACGGGGAAAGAATTGTATAATTAGAATCTCTCTGCCCGCTTTACTTCCCATGGCAGTACTGCTTGGATTTCCCATAACCCTTTTGCATGCATGTATATACTGATTTACTATCACCAACCAAAGTTTGATCTCCAACACTTTTTACTTCTCTACATTTTCTGTTTTGGATGAGATTTGCGCTTTCATCACTCTTGCACTTTTATTTTTTTTACTAATGTGCTTGGGGGTTTCTGTTTTTATCATATGTAATGATCTTCATTTGTTCTTTTTCTCTTTATTAAGAAATATTCTCCTCTGCGAATGTATTGGTGACATTGTCAGACACTGACGGACAAACTATTGTTATTACTATGTAACAAACAGTCAGTCTTTGTTCTCCAGACTTTTTGCTCATATAGATCAGTAGTGTAGTTGCACCCATCCCTTACTAATCATATCTGTTAGCTAGTAGCTGTAGCTCCTACTTCTTTGCTATCTTTATGATATTTGGCTCTGTTCATTTGAAGTTACTTAACAATAAAAAAAACACTTTTCTTTAATACACCTGTCTTGTACTGAGCCTTGTGGCAATGTGTGCTTCAAAATTACAAGCACAAAACAAAACATACGTATATTAATGTATAAAATAACAGTTTAAAGCTGAAGAATACTTTCTCTGGCAATTACTTTTTATTGTTTTATTCTCTGTAACACAGTTTCTCTTGTGGAGTGAGTAAAAAGCTATCTTTGTGGTACTAGTAACTGCTAGTGGACTAACAACAACCTATTCTTTCTCTATCCCAACTCACTCTGGGAGTTTTTCCTGTGTGTTGCACAATGAGTGAATGTCTGTGGCCTTCATTGTATTGGCAGTGTAAACTCCAGAGCTATGCTTTAGAGTTAATTGCATATAGATTGAGATGATGAATCTGTGTGACTTAGCTATAATTTATGTGTTGAGGCAGATTCTAGGTAAGTATAATATGATATCTGTTATCGGACTCCCTTTGCAAGCTTCGCCAAATGTAATTTTTACTCCTTTCTGAGCATATTCAGATACACCATTAGTTATAGCTAGTTTGCAAAACACCACAGAGAGCAGAGTGCACCAGTTCATAGCAAATAGATAGTTGTCACTGACTTATGGTAGTTTATCAAACCCCCCATGGATGGTTGAAAGACATATTATCTTTCTGATATTTTTTTCCTGTTTTGTACTTTTCTATTAATCAAAATACATGTGCACACCCAAATACCAGTCCACATCATGAGCACAACTTTCACACCAGGTTTATTTTCACTAAATGTCTTCATGTGAGTAGTGAGGGTTTGTGTTTGTGCAGTCTCGCCCATTGGTAAATGGTACCTGTCAAGCATTCAGTTATCCACACTCAGTGTGACTCAGACACTATTCAGGTGTTAGGCTACCTACTGTGGAAACCAAATATAACAGGCCCGGTAATAACAGGGATCCGGTAATAACAGGGAGTTTTTAAATCCCCGTTTTTTCCTACTCTTTGTCTCTATTAAAAGTTATCGCAATAACAGGGCCTCATCGGATCCCAATCTGTTATAGCAGGGACAAAGGCTCGTTAACAATGTGTAAAAAGTAAGAGAGAGAGAGAAAGAGAGAGTAACGCAGTGATGGAGCAAGCCCGCGCAAACCACACCACTGCAAGCACATGCAACGGGTGAAGCGAGAGGGCTGCGGTGTGCTGCCGACTTCGATCGAGCCTTAAGCCTAGCTGCAGGCACACGTCATGCGCAAGCCTGCCACATGACCACGAGAGAGGGCTGCAGTGTGCTGTGCTGTTTGTGGGTACTTGTGGCAAGGGAAACTACCCATGAGATAAAATACAGCTGGATTAGTCCACAAATGCTTACAAGTTACTTTCCTTGCATTTCTGATTTAAAAGGGATCTGATATAACAGGACTTTTTCTCTGGTCCAGCCATCCCTGTTCTCAGGTTTCCACTGTATAAGGTCCTTGTGTGCATGTGTTTGTGAATGTGTGGTAACATGAGTTTCCCTGCATTTCCCCAGATATCGCAGACATCCTGGGCCACACACATACCAAGATCATCTCTGATGCCAACCTGCCCCTGCTGGTCAGACAGATTGCTGTACACTGTAACGTGAGTAGTTGTGGATCTCTCATGTGTTGGTTTCTGTGTATGTTTGTGAGGGTACTGATATGTGTCTATGTAAGAGAGTACCACTGTGTATGTGTCTGTGAGAGTGGGATTATGTGTTTGTGAGGGTGTGGAAGTACTAATGTGTGTATTAGAATAGAGTTGGTACTGATGTGTGTTTGTCTGTATGTGAGAGTACTGATGTTTGTCTTGTATGTGAGGGTACTTATGTGTGTCTTGTATGTGAGAGTACTGATGTTTGTCTTGTATGTGAGGGTACTTATGTTTGTCTTGGACGTGAGAGTACTGATGTGTGTCTGTCTGTGAGGGTACTGATGTTTGTTTGTCTGGTGACATCTTTTTTCCCAGCTGGCCTCAATGGTCCTGCAGAGACAGCAGTCCACACTGGGCACGCCCGAGGTCTTCGCCTCCAACTGGCTGGAGCGTTTGCGTCAGATCAAACTCCTCAAGCGCAGGATCATAGAGTACCAGCCGGAAGAGGCAGGCGGTGAGCCCACCAGCCCCTCCCATGTGTGGCCTCCCCCAGGGGCTAGCGGAGACACAGGGTCTGGTGGTTGTGAGGACTTCACCGACTACTTGTGATTTCTAGTGACCCAATTCCAGCATTATCGATCGCCAGTACTTTAATGATATTTGCCAACTGCTTGCGTATTTGATCAACTTGTGAATTCCATCAAATGCAAACCTCTTCTACTGCCTCTGATAGTGCACATATGTGGGTTATTCTTGAGGGGGCTGGGATTGAACCAGTAGTGTTTCAGTGATTGATTTTTCCAGAGTTTTTATCCCCACTGCTTGTAATGTTTGATTTGAAGTTAACCAAGTTGCGCAGATCATTTCAAGTCACTGTAGAGAAATCTGAGTGGTAGGTCTGTCATAATTAGTTCAGTTTAACTGAGATAGTTTCACTGTATTGTACAGGACAGACACAAAAGTGTGGGGTGTTTTTTGTGAACCTTTTGCTTGTTGGCAATTGATGGAGGCTTGTGATGGGGAAAAGCACTCCCTCTTTCTGTTGACAGTTGCCATGACTTTTTGGTCTTTGACTTCATTCCTTGACTGTTGTCTGTTTGCTTTTTTATTACATCGTCTTTTTATTTTTACTGGTTTATTTTTTTTTAAATGTATAATGTATTTAGTATAGCTTGTATTGGAAGTGTCCTTGCCAGGCAACGTAATTCCAGGTCCATGAGCTTTTGATAAATAATGTGTGTATGTTGTACTCATCTCTATACGTGTTGGAGTGGGACCTGGAGGAGAGAAGGGCACTCTAAATGTCTGCTTTAAGTGAGCCCTGTCATGGCTGTGTTTAATTCCCCTTTCCTCCCCTTTTGGATCTCGGTTTTATCCTTTGCTTGTTCTGCTGGAGTTAACTGCTGGGAGAGGGTGGAGCTCTGAAACTGTTCAGTTATTCAGGAAAATGTTCTGCCGGGGGAAAAAATGGTTAATGACTCTTACCCAGTCTGCACTTTTATCCTGTTGGAGAGCAGAGAGTTGCTGAGGACATCCAATCTCTGTTTTGTGTTGCTGTAGAAATACTAAAGTGCTTCCCCTTGCCCCCCCACACTGATCTTGAGTGTTACAAGTCAACTGATGGGGACCGTGTCACCTTCTTGATTCCTGAAGAGGACAGCTGGTACATAATGGCTTCCGACTCTCAGGGGTATACTGTTATCTCTGTTGGTGCAAGTGTGATTTTGAACTAAGGTTCTGATGACCGTTGCTCAAATACTTAAGGGGGAATTCTTGGACTTAAATTGTTGTTGTCAGGACTCTAGTCCCCACTGAGTTCGGTCCTGTCAGAAATTGACTTTAAATCTGAGGCTATGCCTCTTAAACTATCTCACAGTGTTGAGGGGTAAAAAAATCCCAGACCATACCATTCCCCTGTATCTTTGGCAGAGCCACTTGTGTACCATATATGGAGGGTCCAGTCTGTGACTGTGCAACTCCCCTGGATGTCTTGACTTACCCATTTCATTGTTTTATTAATTAAATGGAAGATTAAAAAGAACGTAAATTTGGTGTCCACCTTTTCTTTTTCCAGCCCAAATGCCCTCCTGGTTGGAGGAGCCATTGGTAGGCAGGTAGGCTGGTGCTGATTGTACTTTCATGGTTTGCTTTCTGTCGGCAACAATTTATCATAATACAGGTACTTGTACAATTTGCGGTTTGATTGTCAATGCCGTCAGACTCTAGTCAACTCTTTATTATAATAGCGGGGACAGATGTTGATTATTCATGTACACCAAATTTTTCAAGTCGTCCTTTGTCATGCTTGATCCTGCGTGGTGGGACCACGGTTGGGCATGACTTTGTTGCTTTGGAGGGATGTCAGTGTACGGGGCAGTGCCTCGTTATATCTTGTCTTGTAATTGGAGGGTAGAGACATTACTGTTGCCCTGTAGATTCACAAACTCTGGGGACCACTGAGTGAAAGTAAGTAAAAATGTTGTTACATTGTCTATTCTGTTGTACATTTTGGCCACATGTTGCTGCACATGTGGAGCTTTCTTGCGGATTTTGAGGATTACTTGATCAAAAGATTTTCTTTGTGTACTTTATTATTTTCAAGTGTCATAGTAAGGCTTTTAAGTGTTACTGAATGTATTTGAATCTTTTATCGAAATTTCACTACTTAAACATGATCAGTTTTTAATAATATTGTCATTTGTGGATCTTATTTAATGTATTTTTTTACTTTTCAGTATGGCTAAATTAAAATATTCCTTTAAATGATGGTTTCTACACATCACTGAACGGTATTACTAATTAAACTAGTGCATGTGTGACCCAAAGATACCTCTTTTTATTAATAATTAAAATTTCTGCAGTATGAGTGTTGTGGTGTGTATTAGAGCCGTAAGATATTGGCAGGCCTCCGCTTGTGCCATAGGTTTAGTGATACATATAACACAGTGCGGTACAAGATCCTGTTTTCTAGCACACACTGCTGTCTTAATGGGCATTGTTGGGACATTTATATGCATTTTTTGTGTCATAGTCTTCGTCTTGACCTCAAAATAGCTTTAACTCATATGTGTGAGCCCACAATCATGTGAACATTTCTCGTAACCACCAGCACAGTCACCGATATGTGTTATATTGCGCTTCTTGTGCATTACCCTGACTTTCCCTTCACTAGTCACTAAACGGCTTTGTCAAACTTGTTCTCCTCAGCGTTGTTCCCTTGGCTTTTATTCCCCAAATGTTGTTGGTGTTCCGTCATAGGCTGGTGCTGTACAGAGCTTGAATTTGACAACTTTCAACTTGGTGTGTATTTGTAAACTATGCTGAAAGTGAAAGAGGTATTGCTTGGCCTTTGACAAAACTTTTTATTCCTGATTTTTGCAATAAATTGTTCCATGCTTTGAACAGTGTGTTCTTTATTCAATGAAATTTGTTTGGATTTTTTCCCCACAGTTCTCTAAGTTCAAAAGAAATTACTTTTAGATTGGCTTACCCACAGAGTGAGACAGCCTACCTCAAGCCAATCAGCCCGGTGCTGTCAACATTGTTTTAGCCACATGAGCAGAGAGTGTCCCTCCTGCTGTGTTTTCAGACCTACTAGCACAATGTATACTGACACAAATATAAGGAACAACTTCAAAGGGAAAACAAAGAAGAACCTGTACTGGCCTCTAGATACCCATACAGTGCTGGGAGCATGCGCAACGTATATAAGTACATAGATATATCGTCGGCCTTGTGATAAAACCGACTAACCCCAGCGGGGTAAATTTTACAGGAGAAGGAAAAAACTGTTTTATTTCAAAACAAAGGTGTCTAAAGATAAATCAATGCTTTAAACACCTATAAAAACACTTTACCGAAAAACTGTAGACCTTTTTTCCTTAAAAAATCGCTTTTAATGAAACTGCGTGGGATGGACGGTTATGTAGCTCAAATTTTTCCGGATAAAACCGACCAACCCTCAATTTTGTGGGTTGGCCGGTTTTATCAGGAAGCCACTGCTGGCCTTGAGTGCAACAACAACAACAACTACAACGACAAGGAGAGGGAAGTTGAGGAGGAGGAAGGGAAGAAGAAAAAGAGAGGGAAGTGGAGGAGGAGGAGAAGGATAAGGAGAGAGAGGAAAAGGAGGAGGAGGAGGAAGAAATAGAAAAAGAAGGAAGAGGAGGAGGAGACTATCAGCTGCAGTCATTTCAGTGCTATGGAGCCTTTTTCGGGCAAAAAAAGCAGTGACAAAGTTGAAAATTAACTAGAAATAGAAGAAGCAGAGCACAGCAATGGGTCTATTAACTGAACTACATTTGAAGTAGAAGAACTGGAGATTCGAAGGGTAAGGGAGAGCAGCTACAACAAAAACCAAAAAAACAATTTATGACAGTGTCTGACACGATACTATTGATACCGGATGGTCCTTCAAATACCTGGAAAAAAGTAATACTAAAAGAGAAATGAAGGCAGAAAGCCACACAAAAGCTCCGCTACCTCAGCAAAGGTTTGAGTGAAGTTAGTTACATCATAGTATATTATTATTATACAAAAAGACTTCGTAAGTATCAAAGAATACCCCAACTTTCAAGGTGCGTGGCTTGACAACTACTTTATTGAGTTTTCTCAACAATAGACCATTCTGTCTCACTCTGTGTCCAATGGCTATAGCATGGCAATACGACTAAAGGTCACCTTTGTTTTGAAAGACTCTGCAATAATCGAATTTGACCTGTTCGCTTTCAAAGCTTCTTACTGGGGCAAAATGTCATAGTAACTGTGGTAGCATTGTGGTACGACAGCCTCCAACTCCTGTAGATGCTTATACTGCCTGGCAGCTATCTTCACTGTATTTGTAGAGAGGTCCAGCAGTAACTGTCGTACAGAGAGTGCTCAGCTTTCTTAGTCCTTGCAGCACCTGCCATTCATCATCAAAGTTCAGCTTGTACTGAATTGTAAAGACTGGAGTGTACTTTGATGCCGGCAAGTCAGTGACAGTAGGATCGTCTGCTTTTCTCCATGGGTGGATTGTTTTGTACTCGCCGACCTTTGGCAAATCTTTGAGAAAGCTGTGGTCCATGTACATAACTTCATGGGGCCTGGGGATCCGTCTGGCTTTGAGCATGATGTTCACGTAGTCCACTGGGATGTAATTTAGTTCGTTGTTGTTGTTTTTTACCGATCGCTTAATAATAGTGCCATAGACTAAATATACCTCCATTTGGGTATGGCCCTTAGTGAGAATTTCTACTCAACTGTGATGTCAAGCTCTTTGGCCAGCGAGGCCATTGCACTCACCAGGGTGGCATTTCTGTTTTGGTAGTTGCACCCATCATTGTAGATGATGAAATGGTTGAAGTCAGTCGCTTGCGATCTCAGTCAGACTCGATGAAAACTGTTGGAGCTCAGACCACCGTCACTTTCATCCCAGACATATCATCTGGCGTCTCTAGTGGCAAGATTCTAAATCGTAAAATTGTGTACAGCCAGTTAGGTTCTATAACATAAGGCGCGTGTCTTTAGCGATGGTACCAAGAGGACGCACTGGATCCCCATACAAAGGACACACACTTTGTTCTCTGGGTTCAGTGCAGCCTCCCTGTCCTTCTCATTCTCTGCTTGAGATGCAGCTGTAATCATATTTCATGAGTTGTGTATTTCGTTTCTGTGCGGTTTCCTGATTCGAAGCTGGTGCAAATTCGCACAGGTGTCTCTTGGTTGAAAGTAAATCCCAATTGTTTCTCTTGAGCTTTTGGCAGAACACTTGATAGCTCAATGTTTTTTTCTGCCTCTCATCACATTTCTCCATGTATACTCCATGCAGATCTGACGTGTTCTGGATTGTCATCTGGAGGCAGGATTGTCAAAAAATTCCTCCTTATGAAACAACTTGTCATCCTGGGCTCTCTCGTGGTGGGCATGATGTGTTCTTGGGGAACTTTTTTTTTTTTTTTTCGGAGAAGACACTTTAAATAAACCAGTGGGTCAGGCCTGCACTGTTCATGAAGATTGTTTTTCAAATAGGAATTCTTTAACCGTTGACTCTTTTTAAGTGGTATTGAAGGGTTTAATTTTTTCTTGGGTTTTCACATGCTGTGTAAGATCTCTTTTTGTCTATCCTGTTTATCATGGCATATTCCTAGGCTCTCTTTTCCTTCAAAGAGAAAGAGTGACTAGTGATGTCTTTGTATTTTGTTCAAACCAGTTTACAACTGCAAAGGACGTTAAGTTCACAGCCTGCTCGCTTTTTGTCTTGACATATTATGTAGAGGCATTCCCAGCTCTTTCAACCTCTTCTTTTGTTGCCCTTCCAATCGTTTTCATCCCGTGTACTTTTTGCAGAGATCAATGGTGACATAACGGTTGTATCATCAGCTGATGAGACATTAACCTGGTCACATTATTCCATTGCGCTGAGGGTCAGAGGTGACCAAACAAGAGTGGCATCCTCTGATGGAATGTTATAGCGTTATGCAAATTAAGGTCTGATATAAGGATTATATGACACTGAGAAAATAATCAATACAAAAGACAAAAGAAATGAACAATCAAAGAAAGTCGAAAGACATTTTAGAAGATGACTGCAATAAACACTGCAAGTGAAAAAAAGAAGAAGCACTTAAAACAACAATAATCTTTGGGGGCAGGTGGTGAGCTGGACAGGTCCAACAATTTTTTTTCTTTCTGAGCGAGTTAGTAAAGAAATAAATGCTTTCGACTTCGTCCATTCAATTGTGAAGAAAAAAAAACATTAGGAGTAGGAGAAGAGACAGTATAGTCCGAAGAGGGGAAAATTAATGCCTTCATAATTTGGTGACTTTCCAGCACAAAGACAAGGAAGAACACGTGGACAGAAAAAATAGTGTCATATAAAACAAAATCCAAAAAGATGCTTTTTAAATACTGACATTGTCGAGAGATTAACAGTTCAGTGGGAACAGTGGGGAGTTTTAGTCATTAATAACACTATCAACAGCATTAAAAACGAAGTAAAAAGAGGAAGCAACTACATCTATACAACTCCCCAATGAAACCAACAAGAAATATTATACACAATTTTCAATATTTAATATTCCTTTTAGGAGAGCTCCCACGGTTACGTGAGCGAATTCTTGACTATCAAAGGTCTGAATCTGATGTCAAACGAAGTCCGTAGACGAGTCGAAGCCGGGGTTAGTCGGTAACGTAGCAAGTGGCCCCTCATTGTTAGCTCGACAAAAACAGCCAACCCTCATTCCCTCTCTCGCAGGTGGGATAGTCGGTATTATCGGGCTAAAGTCCGATGGGTGCCGGGTTATACGGTTTTATTTCTAATGTTTTAAAGACATTTCTAGACAAAATTCAGACCTGTCTTTGAGTGAGCATATGAAATGGACAATACTATCGATAGGGCCAATAAAAAGTGTTTTGATATTTTGTGGGTTAGTCGGTTTTATCACAAAGCCGACGATATATAAATTCAAAGGTAAGGGGAAAGAACTGGTACTGTTAGTAACAGCCTCCATCCAGTTATTCACATTTCAACATTAGCTCTTGGGCAAGTGGTAGCAGTCTGTGGTATATGGCATGGGGGAAAGTCTGATCTGCACAGTGACCCGCCAATACCAGACAGCAGGAGGATCTAGTGGTAGCCTATATGGTGAGATATGAATGAATGTTTTCAATACCTGAAACAGTACTCCCAACAAGCAGGGCATCTAGGTTGGGATGAGATTGTGAATTTCTCAATACCTCTTTTTACTTTTTGGACAATAATAATAAATAGCATTTGTACAGCGAAAATTCCCGCCTAACAGCAAGCTTTATGCATTTTATAATTCATATTATTACCCTAGCAGACCTGATAGAATTCTAAATCAATCTCAACTTCCTTGGAAGCATGCAATGCAAGCTGCCATTTTATAGGCACTAAAACACTAACATTTTGACAAAATCTTTCCCTGTCTTTGGTGACCACGTACTCATTCACACCTAGGTGAAGTGAGAGAAATTCTTGTAAAGTTCCTCCCAAGGACGCGACACCGGGCCTAAGGCTTGAACCCCGGAACCAATAACCTCATGATTACGAGTCTGGTAGCCTAACCGAATACTAGTGTGACTACAATATCTGACCTACCACCCAGCCCTATCATACAACCAAAAGCTAAAACGAGTATCAACAATTTGAACAATGGTGAGAAACCACAAGAGACTGTTCAAAACCGCCGATATAGTCTAGATCTATCAGGTAAAAATAGTATTGTCCCAGGAGTCAGCACAACTGGGTAGTCACTCATAGTATCACTCACATACAGCACAAAGTCTAGAGTCATGTTTCTGTTTAAACTGGGTTTTATTGTAAGTCTATCTATATATATTTAATCTATTAAATGTCATCGTACAAGAGAGTGACAACATGAGCTTAAGCCTAAACATCAAGAAAACCAAAACGATGGTGATAAACAGAAAAACTCCAATCCCAACATGCAATATCAAAGTCAACGATACCACCCTCAAGCAAGTACAACATTTTAAATATTTGGGGACCATTATATCATCAGATGGTAAGTGTCACACCGAAATTAATAGCCGCATTTGCCAAGCAAAAGCAACCTTCCACAATATGAAACAGATACTAACAAACATCAATCTGTCACTGGAAACGAGGAAAAGAGTACTAAAAAGCTACATCGAGCCAATCCTATTATACGGGTGCGAAGAGTGGACAATCAATAAACAGCTGGAAAGAACAATTGTAGCGACAGAGTTGTGGTTCATAAGACGCACGCTACGTATCCCATGGACAGCTAGAAAAACAAACGAAGAAGTACTGGTTGAAGCAAATTATAGACAATAAATTATCACGAATATAAGAAAACGACAGGCAAATTTCTTCGGACACACAATGCGGAAAGAAGCATTAGAGAATATTGTCACAACAGGAAAGTTTGATGGAAAGAGAGGCAAAGGCAGACAGAGGGAAAAGATACTGGACAAGATGACAACATGGTTGGGAGCAGCAAGAACAACAGACACAATTGCTGCAGCGAAGGACAGTGTGAAGTGGAGGTCCATGGTCGCCCACGCCAGTCGGCAAGGCATCGAATGATGATGATCTATATATATATATATAATTATTATCTGTTTTATCAACACATTGATGTTCTCAAAAAAGTTGTCTCAACAAGTTGAACGAGCCTGAGCTATGGCAGAGAGAAATTAAGGCTAATAATGAAGACAACTTCAGCAGTCTTTGAAGTCTTGGGCCCGTTTCTCCACAAAAAGGAAGAGGAAGGCCACGCAAAAGGTGGATCGAGGGTCTCAAGGAAACCGTAAGAAAACATAAAATCACAACTGAAAGAACTGCGGAGCTGGCCTACAATAGAAAACTGCAACTCCCATCGACGCTTAACGGCAACAGAGGATGAAAAAGTAAGTAAAGTAAAGAAGAAAACTTCAGCAGTCTTTGAAGTCTGGGGCCCGTTTCTCCACAAAAGCAGTCATCCCTTCCTTTCTGTCGTGCTGGAATATAAAAAAAACCCAGAAAATAATTTTGAAACAATTTGACAAACTCAAATGTAAATTTTTTTAAATTACACCAAACTGGACTTGGTAACTAGACTTTTTGGGGTACAGTTTTCGAGCCTTTGATTAAATCGAGCACACCTTAAAAAATCAGTTAAATTCACATACAATAGAATTTTCATTTAATTCAAACTGCGGTGTGCAAAGTTGAGATCACCACAGGCAGGGAGAAACTTACTGTGGAAAAAGTAGCATGGAAATATCTCTTCTCCAGGCTAAGGCCCTCATTCAGAGGCATGTTGAACCCTGGAACAGATGACAAAATTACTGACTAAAGAGGCGGACCAAAGAGTTCAAGGAGTTGGCAAAAATCAGAAATAAAAAATTGATAAGTTTTCTGACAGGAAAATGACTTTGCAGACCTTATACGGGCTCTACGTTCACAAACATTCATTTTCTGAGACTAAAACAGCAGACATACTATTTTCTAATGTCAAAGGATTTTGATAAAACATAAATCACGCATAGTCTCCCTCCTAACCACAAACAATACTCGCACTGAATTTGTCTATCTCCCAAAACTACCCATCAGTCTTTCATAACAAATATCGTATCCACAAAAAAACACATCTTTGTTTTAAACAAACGCACAGCACAGATCCACTAGTCAAAAACATTATCAACGTCCTCTGGTCTTACCAAACACACCGACAACGAACAAACAATCCCACACCATGCTTTCTACACTTCCCAGAAAAAAACTCATAATTCCCCACTGAGAGGCTCACCTGCATTGACAGCTTCTTTGCACATGGCCACGATTGTCTTGGAGTAGCTGGCGATCTTCTCTGCTGTCTTGACCGTCTCATCCACCAGCTGGTCCACGGGTACCACTTTACTGACTAAACCTGAGTTGTGAGTAAAGAGAAGCAAGCACAACAACACAATTACAACTATTTAGTGCGCGGTGAAGCAAACCCCAAGACTGACAGAAGCAACAGAGGGAAAGAGAGAAAAAAACATAATATACGACCTAAAAGTGGTGACCTCTAAAAACCCACAGTCTTGACAAGACCTGAATGGACAAAGAACAACACAACATGAGGCAAACAAAAATAAAACAAGGATTTCAAATTACCTGCGGGAAAACCGATAGAGAAAAGTGCTCATAGTTGCTGAAACCTTTGAAGTATTGAAGTAGTTTCTGCCCAAGTTGTTACAGTAAAACTCCAAGAAGGCCATCTCTCATGTACACTCAGCGGTCAGAATGTCGCCTTCCTCTAAATGCAAAGTAATTCAACATTTCCTTTACCCACAAAATGTTATTCTACCCAGGAATTTTAACAATTTCTTTTTTCATAAAGCAGAATTTTGTAAAATAAAAGAACAACTCTGAGGTTCACACACACACACACACACACACACACACACACACACACACACACACACACACACACACACACACACACACACACACACACACACACACACACACACACGCACACGCACACACACGCACACACACACGCACACACAAACACACAAACACTCACACTCACACACACACACACACACACACACGTACACACACACACAACCTACCCGCTTTCTCTGCCTCAACAGCTGACATCCTGTTCCCTGTGAGCACCATCTCCATGGACTTAGACTTGCCCACGGCACGCGTCAGTCTCTGTGATCCCCCGGCTGCTGAAGTGAACTGCAAGACCTTTTGCCACAGTACATACTAACAGCTGACAACATCACACAAGCCTAGGTCAGAACACACATGGGCATCTGACACAAATCACAACATACAACACAACTGTTGCTCGAAGTCGAATAATACATACTGGAATTCGACACAATACACAGCATAACCACTTTTTAAAGTACACACGAGCATTTGGCACAACAAGAAATGGCACAAGTCAAAAACAGAAGATGACTTTATAGAATAAAGGAAGGCGAGAAAAAAGACACCCCCCCAAAAAAAAATTAAATAAATAAATAAATAAAGACTGCTTTCAAAAAAACATAAGTAAGGAAATGCGTGAAAAATATGTATGACGAGAAACTGGCTGAAATTTGCACGGATAATCCTAGAGTGTTCTATAACAGTGCGAACCAAACAGGTTATGGTGTGAACAGCATGCGGGTAAGAAAAGAGCCATACAACCCGACATATACACCATAAACGACAAAGAAGGAAAGTCCATTCTCAGCAATTATGCTATACATGTATTTACTAAGAAAATTGGGAACATAAATTCCAAGAAATACTCAACCCAGACGTTTGCTACCGACAACAAGAAAAATTCCAACCAGCATAATATGCAGAGCAAACAGAACCACACAAACTGTCCAGAATTGAAAATGCACCAAAACCAGTACCAAGAACAAAGTCCCAAGACCAGATGACACCACAATACTCGTAGAAGCCACAAGAGGTCGTGAAAATACCTGTGTACTGTGGCCGAGGTGAATTTGAAACAGAGCCTGGGATAAAAGGACATGACCAGAAGATTGGCGGAAGGCCATAGCGGTGCCATTATGGACAACGAAAGGCAACAAATATGCGTTTGCACTACAGACAGAGGCATCTGATATTTGCTAAGCTATGATAGGGAAAGCCTACGCAAATAGAACAATTAAAGGATAAGACCTATTACATAGAAATTTGAAAGAAGCTTTGTTCGGATTCCGCAATGGAAGAGGAGGCACAGATGCTGTGTATTTGTATTACGACAGAATATGCAAAGTGGGGTGTGTGGGTGGGGGTAGAGAGAGAAAGAGGGGGGGGGGAGA